GCATTAAAAAAGAAAAGAAAACGCGAATGTGAGTTGACCACAAGAATGCAACAGATACACGACCAATAATGGCTTAAAAAAAAAATAATTTAACAAGTGTTTAGCATCTCCAAAACATTTTGTTCGGACATCCAATAAAATAAACTCACTTAAAGGCGAAGCAGGCCTTCTGCTACTTCAAGACGTCTCCTATCCTGCTAAATGTTTCAACTACTATTGCACACGTATATTAAATACAATTATAACATATATATTCCGCAGTGCATAACTAACGGACGACCTATTAATTAATTCAATTTTTTTTTATTTCTTACATGGTCCTATAGATATAACTCTCCATTTTCAATTAATTAACCCGTCGCAAATATCAATTTAAGAAAAACGAAAATATAAAACGATCATTTGTTATAACCAAACTGTTGTTTTAGCCAACAGCAGGAAAACCTATCGTGCGGCTATCAAGAATTACGGTGGGATCCCCCACTCTCACTAGGGCTACCCTGTACTTGGGCGAGGTTGCCAGCAGGACATGCAAACAGTATCATGATAATTGTCATTATCAAACAAGCTGGTGCCTTTATCACAATGCAAGGAACCGCTTAAGCTTTTAATCATTGCGTCACGAATGAATAAAGCTACTGGATCACTGTGTATTTATAAGGATGATTAAAATTGAACAAGTAAACAGACAACATTACGAGCTGAGAAACGTTTTTAACTTCCCAGAGATTCTAGTATTATCATCTCCCACCTTTTACAAAAACAGTAACAGATTTCCATGGAACTAGTTAGTATTTTGTATACCACATAATACAGTCCATATAAACCAGAAATGATAAAAACAATTTTCCGAAAATATTTAGAACTCATGGGTATATTGCACCAGATTACGCAAGTAGCTGCTACTTTGTAATGCTACAGACAGCGTGATAAAACGTCATCAACCGCTTCACAATAGACTCTTTTCTTCCCAACCCACCCTCAACGACACACAAACAGGCACACCCACAGTTTTAAGAAAAACTGGTACGATAAGGGTTCCTGAAGCTAGGAGAGTGAATCTGGCAATCGCATGTTGAAGGAGAGATCCAGGCGCAAGGTTTACAACTAAGCATTCACATATAGATAAGTACACGACACTAGACACAGATACATTTGTGAGTAGCCATTATCCTGAGGCTTATAAAACCTCATCCACAACCGCGCGGCTGTATTAGTCACATACTTCCAATAGAAACCTTTGGATACAGTATCGTCAACGAACTTATTTGAGTCTCGTTATTAGCTCCCACATGAGAAATGATTACTTTAGAATACAAACAACAGAGACCCAAAACTTATGTGAGACGCCACTGAATGATTTTGCATTTAGTTTCTTGTGTTGCAGCAGCACCTACCTTACGCACCTCTCGAGTAATACTGGGCTGCTTAGGCACTCGGAGCTACCATCATTGTCAACACGCTGGAAGTACACGTTCTTTATCATCATTGACTAGGAAGTCACTTCTCGTTTTCAGCCGCATTTTTACTGACATAAAGCTTTTTAGTTACTAAACTTATTTCGCAAGCTGAGGGATCTCGTAACCTTAGACTCCACTACCACTATACATACAAGAAACAGAGTTGAACCTTCACTCCTTGTTCCTGAATCAGAGGAGCTGCAGCTAAACTCCCCGAAGAGACCCAGAGCTATAGCTCTGTTTTCCAAAGAGGTCCAGGAGCTGGTGATCAACTCCTTGAAGGACCTTTTTGGGAGGTTGTCTTGTTCCTGGCGAGAGGCTCATGATTCGTTCCTCCATGAGATGAAAGACAACTGTATCTTTAGTGCTCCTTATGAATATAATTAATAATAATAATAATAATAATAATAATAATAATAATAATAATAATAATAATATAATAATTATTATTATTACTATTTTTATTATTATTATTATTATTATGAAAATTTTTTATTATTATTAATACTTTACAAATTTGTTTTAGCAAAATTGACGCAGATACACTCCAATAACAATCTGAGCTTTCTTGCAAGAGAGAAACAACTTTGCTGAAAGTTTGGAGAGAATGGAATGAGGAGTTCTCACTTTGAGTGTGAACCATACCTGGAGGTACATGGAGAGGGTTTCGCGGGTCAAAGCCCCCGCGGCCTTGTCTGAGACCAGGCTTGTGGTGGATCAGGGTCTGATCAACCATTGCCCTATTTGCAATCATAAAATAGGAAAATTTCCACCTGCCATAGTCCAATTAAAGTCTCACCCTTCCTCTGCTTATACATCAGTGATGAAAATCTGAAGGCGATCAGAGGAGGCATTCTATTAGATGACGCTCAAGTGAACTGCACGTAATTCGGAGCCCTGAATTACCGGCTATAACAGGGTCTGGCAAAAGTAAAACCAACTTGGCTTCCGTGAAACTACCGATATCGTCCACCATAAACACTGGCTTTTAAGTAGGTTGATCTGTTTACATCAAGGAAACCAGTAGACTGACCTTAATGCAACTCACACAAGTTATATGTCTATGCGTGGCACACTACAAAGTAATTTTTATATAGACACATATTTAAAATGGTTGTAGACGTTAAGTAAAAAATTAAATTATGTAGCTTTAAAATTGGTGTAGACGTTAGGTAAAAAATTAAATTATGTAGCTTTATTCATTGTAGCTGGGGAAAAATATGTCACTCCAGAAATTTTACAAACAAAATCTGCAAGGTAAAAACCTACAAAACTGACAC